CACTATTACACAGTAGATCAGGGTATAAATGATCACTATTACACAGTAGATCAGGGTATAAGTGATCACTATTACACAGTAGATCAGGGTAATCAGATTAGTATAAAACACCACGTGCACGTAATAAATCCTATTAGAGTATTGAGCTCTAAGGTGTTTATAAAAAGACTGAGCAGATGACATCAGGGGAACATTTGTTTAGCCGAATAAAAAGTCGGTTTAAAACCATTTGGATGAGCTCATTTCAATAAGGAGCTGACACAAAAAGAATGATCTAAATTAAATATTTCACAATAAGGTTTGGTGTGTACATAATACAAACTAAACCACTTTATTCAACATGTAATCACATATCATTATCGATCGTTTTATTAAGTATAAAAATGTGTGGTTACATATTGCTTAATAAAAACATCTAAACAGCCGCTCACCTTTTCTTAATAAAGGTGGATTAGCCGAGCTAGCCTGAGTGTTAGCATCGCTGCTAGCTTAGCTTAGCTTCATTGCTCGGCGGAGGCGCCATCTGCCAGGAGGCTGTGCCCGGGCCCGGGCCTCGGGCTCCCGCCACAGCCTCCACCTCAGTCCGCCGGTGAACCATCAAACCATAAAGTCCACACGGCTGGGCGGCCACGCGTGTCGGTGTTTCTCTTGAAACACGCACTCACCGGAGGTAAACACAAACACGTTGGTGTTGTGCGCTCTGCACCAAACCCCGTGCCGTGTGCACAAAGACGGAAAAACCCGGAAACCGCCGCCGCCGCGCGGAGCGGCCCGGAGCGGCGCTGCAGCGACTCCAGCCGGCTACAAAACGACGCGATCTGGGTGTTTGAACACACAAAGTGTCGCTTACAGTGGAAGAGAAGGCTGTGTTTTGTCCACTCCGGTGATCGTGGGTCCTTGGCGGCGTGGCTCGGTGCCTACGGTCCGGTCCACAGACGGATGAGCTGTGGTGCCTTCACGGACTTTCCAGGAAATTTGAGCTTCCTATACTGAAGCGAAGGAGTGTCGAGAAAGAATCTGGAGAAGTTGTTGCGTTTTCACACCAAGGAAGGTCGTGAGGACAGGTTTTAAAAATCTAGATGCGTCATGGGATGGCATGTTGGTCAAATCAACAATTAAATTTAACAACAGAGAATACAGTTGTAATAACATCCACTGATTCCTTGATGCGGGACGAGTCCCTTAATGCAGCTTCAGATTCAGCAGATAAAAAAATAAATGAGTAAATGTTGTTTTGGAATTAAAACAAATATACTTTTTTTTTTACCCAAATAATTATATACCACTGTTTTGACCTCCCTACCGCAAAGTTTGTGTTTTTTTATTTAATTTGTATCACATTTATCTCAGGTCAGATCTCTTGTAAATGAGTGTGAATTGTGACTTAGTTCAAAAAAGTTCAAGACAAAATCAACTGGACTTTATTTGTAACAGAAGACGTTTCTCTTCTCATCCGTGGAGCTTTCTCATTTCAAAGTGTGGGGCTCAGGTTATAAAGCTGAGGTCAGATACATGTAGATTGACCTATCACTCCTCACAGTGGGGGGTCTTTGTTAGTTTTTAGGAGCCACCCTGACAGGATGAAATTCCTGATGGCTGTGAAAATGGCTGGGTACAAGTTTTTGAAAGTTGAAATCTGAGACCTCCTCCTCTGTTCAAAGATAGTTTATCTCGTTTTTCTTAAATTGCTTCTTCACTCCCCTCTCAAACCATCTGTGTTCTCGGTCCAAAGAGTGAACATTCTGGTGTCTCTTATCCGTGAGGTGGAGGTGAACAGCTGAGTCTTGTCCTGAGGAGCCGGCTCTCCTGTGTTCAGCCATGCGTCTGTGAAGAAGCTGTTCATACAGAGACGTGGACGTCCCTCGCTGCTCTGGACAGCAGACACCACCACACCTGTGTGGACAACACACCCGAACACAAACAGACTGGTGTGTGTGACTGGTGGAAATGGCTGGAGGTAAATGTGACTAACCTGTATAAATAAAGGTTGAACGAATCTCAGCAGTCACATTTATAAAGCTGGTTTTAATCATAATAACTGACATCTGAAGGGAAATGGGTTTTGGGTTGTATTAAAATAAAATGGTTGATGTTTCCTGATCAACAGTAGGTTAGTTCTTTAAATTAGAAACAACATTTTCAAGAAAAGCAGCACCTGAATGCACCACTGCAGAAGGACAGAAAGAACACCTGAATGCACC